GCTTCCTCCGAAAGCTGTCAATCAAAACCTCAACGCGGGTTACAGCGGAGGCGACTGCAGCCCTGTGTGCACCTGTGACCACTGACACACACACACACACACACACACACACACAGAGATAGAGAAGTGCATTACCATAAAACCACAGCCAACCACAGGAAGAACATACAGTCCTCGCCGCTGCACACAAGAACACACTTCTGCCAGAACATCCTGCCACTAGAACATCATGACCCCCAAACACATGCAGGAACACTGCTAGCCCTATTCATCGCTATCATCATCCTGATAAAACTTTCATTGTGTCAACATTTAAATTAAGGAAACAAATATGTGAATTATACTTTCTGTGATTCACAACCAGAGACTCTTTTGCATCTTTTTTAGAAGAAATCATACAAGAAAACTTTGGCAAGACATTTGCCAGTTCATATATACATATATATATAAAGACTTTAAGCTTTATTTTAAGGATGTTTTGTTTGGGTTTTTCATTTTTGAGAAGCAATATGAAAATGTTTATTTTCTTTCCAACTTAATTATTTTGCTTGCAAATGTAAAACTATGAAAGTGAGGCCCAATTTTTCTCACTTTCAAGAAGATATTAAGGTCTATATTAAATCCTTGTCTACCTCCTGTAACAAAAAAGCTACTAAAACTTTGAATATATGCTCACTTTTTGATGTTTTTGTATAATCCTTATTTGATAATATTATTTTATGTTTTGTGGGGAGGATTGTTATATTTATGTGATCTGTTTAATCAATATTTCCACAGTTATTTATTAGTTTGTTTAATTTATATATATTTTCAACTTTATTTATTTTTATATGTTGAAATGTGATGTAATATTTGGCCGTCCCTGAACCTCTGGCTCTTTTGTATTGTGTAAGTAAATGTTTAAATGTAAAAAAAAAGGAAAGAAAAAAACATTTTTAGCTGCTCAACGCATTAAAACATTTGGCCATTAAAAGAGCAGTTTTCAATGCACTAAAATGCAGTTAAATCTACATTTACATTTAAATGTATGCATTTGGCAGATGCTTTTATGCATTCCCTGGGAATATGAGATATGATTCATGACTGCAGAAATGCTGTGAGATAAATGACATTAATATTTCAGGGGTTTCCTACCGATCTGTCCTTCCACGCCTTGTTTCGGGATGCTGATCGAAGTTTTTGTCTCTGATTCCAGTCGTTTACGAGTCTCTCCCTTCTTACCGATAATATATCTGTCAAAAAAACAAGAATGTTGCTGAGATTGGATCAGAAAATGTAAATGCAGTGGAAAAAGCTGCAATAAGTCTGTATGGAAGCCCGTTAATGGAATAAAACATTATTTTAAACTCAAATTGTAAGATATTTGCTGCGTCACAATTCACAATAATACGCCCTAAAAGTGTGTACTGTTTTTGTGAAGGAAAGTACATACTTTTGAGTGTGATACAGATATATAGGCAAGATTTGGGACAAACTACATTATCACAACTGCGTCTGTTTCTGTTTAAACTGCCCTGTCAATCATCTCGTCACGGTTAAAATCCTCCACATTCAATTTAATTTAATTTCCTGCCATATCGGAGAGACTCTCCTCATTTGCATAATGATGCATTTAAAAGTTCATGACCCAAACGTATCTTGTCTCTAAGTTCACAATGATGTTCCAGATGAAATATAACGCTAACATCGCATAAATATATTTTCGTCAGGTGAGATACTGATTATTAATCACGAGTCAAACCCCTTTATCTAAACCTCTCTACTTAATCGTTGGTCTCGCAAGTCCGCCATGTTTGTAGTTTTTAACACTTTTTATTCATATTTGTAGTTCTAATCGAATCCGCGTCCGAAGGCAAATGGAGTGTAACCTGAAAAAGCAGATCATCCTCATTTCAACATACTATGATTTGCGACACAATAATTCTAATTTTCAATATATTGAGGACGGAGCAATTAACTCGCAAGAAATAAAGTCGGATAAAAAGTTGCAATTACCTTTTTTTTATTCCATTATAAGTCTACGTTCACAGTGCGAGCCTTAGTGCCGCTCAGATCCGATTTATTGCTCAGATCGGATTTCTTTGTACAGCTGTTCACATTGTTGCTTTAAAGTAACAACAGGTTACTATTTCTCTCGGGGTGGGGTCCCCCTACAGTTGGGAAACAGTATTGTCCTCTACTACTGTGGTAAACTCTGTCATCCTACATGCACGTGCAATTGTTGACAACCACGATAGCCCTGAACACTGTAGGAGGAGGTCACATGCAGGTGTTCTGCTTGCGTCTTGTCTGAAATGTCTTCATCCCAGGTACAGTGGCATATATTTCAGCATGTCATATGAATATAATTTCATGGGTTTTATTTTTTTTCTAACGACAAATGATCGCGATGCTCACGTTTACAAGCCAGCGTCATTATAGTAGCCTAGTCTATTGGTTACCGTTTTACTGGATCTATATGATACTTCAATGCAATGTTTGAGTGGTTGATAATATCCATATATCCTCAATATTATAATATCAAGCTACCATAAATGAATCTGCAAATTTTACAAATCGATTTGCATTATAGCTTGAGGCAAGACAAATAAACAAATATCACAGACATGTTAGGTATCCTAAAATATGATTTTGTACAACTTATATATTTACTTGCAAGAATGTAGCCCCTACCAAACTTGTACAAGCCGTTTAGACACAGGCTTTCATTTGATTTTTATTTTTATTTTTTTGCCAAGTCCGCATCGGTCGGGCACCCCTCCTCCTCCTTCAGCTCACGCCAGCGAGAAAATGCTGGCCCAATGTTGATCCTCGTTCTGCCTTTAACGCTTTTTGCTTTGCTCCGATAAAACCTTTGCTTTCTTGTTTTTCTGTGCTGCTTCGGCCATGACTATAACATTTGGCTCGCACGTCCGATTTTAAGGAAGTGGGGGTGGTGGTGGAAGTGACGTATATGCCGTAAAGAAGTCGAATTTTGTAGTTCTCTTTGTTCACCGGTTACTACCCGAAACCCGAAGTTTAAAAGTACGATTAAAAACGCTACAGACTCCGTCAGGCTATGGCAGACGTGTCATTCAACCTATTGTAAGCCGATGTACCATCACAAGAGACTTGGAAATATATTATGAAGGTTGAAAAGTAACCTAGTGCTGCTTTAAATGTGGCCAATATCAGACTCCAGTGTGAACATATCCCTTAAAACTCATCTTTAATCACCAAAATTACATACTTAAACGTTTATTTCCTTGAAAAAAAAACTTCATGCCTTAAAATATCTTGAATGTAACTCGACACCCTCGCCTCATTTAGTATTCGCGGTTCTATGAATATGCAAATGAGCCCCGCCTCCACTCACTCACTCAGAGATCCACTGGTTGACGATCACACGTTGATCTGATTGGTTACAAGGTCGTTTGTGACGTCAGAAACACCAGCGATTTCAAACCGTGTTTTTGAGACTGTCTTTGGTTCACTGCAGTTTTAAGGAGGAAATACTCAGCAATGCTGTCGACTTATGAACTTACACATGGTTTGTCTTAAAGCGTATTAAAAACACCACATAGACACATAAACAACATTAACAGCTGGATTTACACCACAGGGTGACTTTAAAGTAACCGATTACGCATTTATTTATTATGTGATCGGCTGCAGAAGTCAGTGAAATAATGCGCAGGCAATATAAAAAATCAAAAACAGTTTTTTAAACATTTCTGATATGAGCCCGCATGTTTTGCGTGTATATAGAGCATAATTGTGATGAGAGTGACGGAAAAAGTCACATTAATTCTGATATGACTGCAAAACATCTGACCGTTATCGGCCTCAGTACCACAGATGGAAGTGGCACAAATCAGATTAGATAAGATCAGATGTGGTTTGTGTCATTCACACTGACATGAGATCTGAGTCACATGATTTAGGCCACATTTACCAGCAGTATGACTCTGAAAAATTGATCTAGAACATATACTGACTTATAAAGGACACTTGGCACGTCTATGGCACAGCGGAAGCCTTTCTCCGTCTGCTGTATGTCGTGAGCGTCACAGGGCTCGTCCAGGCACTGCTCAGCGTCTGGGACAATCATAACAATAATAATAATAATAATAGTATGTTTATTTTTTATAGCGCCTTTGAAGAACCCAAGGTCGCTTCACAAAATAATACAAACAGTTGACAGACAAGAGACAGGCAATCTGCTAGTTATAACAATTAAACAAGCAGAAAAGCAGATGGAGACAACAATAATGAATAGATTAATAACATTATATGATGTGAAACTACAGACACATATGAACATGTGTCACTCAATTTAAAGAGCACATACCTGCTTCTGAATATGAATAATTATCCTCTTCTTCTTCTTCATAAGATTCCTCCTGAACGGCATTTTTCCTGTAAATTCTCCCGTGGATGTTAATGAGAACGGGCCGTAAGATCTCCATCGTGCTGGATGAGGAAGAGGAGGGTGACGTCACTGTTAATGTGGCATAAATCATCAGCTAAGATTTCACTACATTGTTAGTTTTCTCTTTTTTTTTAAAATAAACTAGAGAACGAAATCCTGTATACTATCCCAACTTGCAAAGGTGATAAAAGTTGATTTAGCAACGTTTCGATCCCATGACCTTCATCAGGTCTTAACTTTCTCAAGTTACTTTGGATAGTGTGTGGGATTTGCTTTTCTAGTTTATTGCATTAGGTTTTGATAATTGCCTTTGTCATACGCACCTATAAATTACTTGCAAGTGTGCTATGTTAATTGTTCATTCATTTAAAACAGTTAAATGACACATTGACAAAAAACATCAAACAAAACACTGGATTTAAAGCAACAAAAAAAGTAAAGTATTTAAAACAAAATAAATAAATTCCACAACTCATCATACCACATGACAGCTCAATATTAGTGAGGTAAAATTATGCATGAATTTTATGAAAGACTTTGTCTTTATTGAGAAAACAGAATTTTTCTTCTTATGAGATTCTTATAAAATAATTTGGGCTCTCTAGGGCTAATCGGTTTTGTGTTGTTGTTTTTTTTTACTTTCTTAATTCGTTTGCTAATCATCCACTAAAGCATCTACAAATAATGACAGATCTCTCATTATTTCTCACAGATATTAATTATGAACAACACTTATTTTTATAGTTGCAGTACAAATGACTTAACAAAAACTTTGGCTTTTATGGAAGCATGTATGTTTATGAAATCCTCTGAAAATATATTGAAAGTCAGCACAAAGACGTTTTACACTGTTAAAATAATGTCTTCTAAACACTAGTGAAATTTAATTGTCTATAATACCGTTTCTGTTCGCATGTGCTTCATTAAAGAGAACTTTGCTAGCAGCTACAACAATAATAAACCACAAACGAGGGTGAAATAACTCAAGACTCATGAAAGAACAACATAGAACATACTACTCGCTTGAATGTATGATTATTAATAATTAAATTATTAATCTTTCTACCTTTGAGATGTGTCTGTTTACATGAAACCGAACAGAGGCGGAGCCTCCACTTCCGCTTTTGCGTCACTTCCTCTGCTGAGAGAATAGGATTTGCAATTTATTTTCTTTCTTCTTTTTTTTAATGAAAAACTAATTAAATTATATATAATAATAATAATAATAGTGACAAATGTGCAAAAACATAATATACAAATAGCCTGAGCATCACATTTGCCCCATTACGCCACGACGTTAGGGGGCGCGCCAACATCCGATCCGTGACAAACTGACGTAAACAAACCGACTGAAGAAAGAAATAACAGCAGCGGCGGAGCTTTGGGGGACACAGGTTGTAAATCATAAAAATAGTACACGATTTTAACACTTTATTGAACTTAATTTTGATTTATTCTTGTATCAATTGCTCATGAAACGTGGAATAGTGATAGTGGCGCTGTGCTGTCTCTTATGTATGAGTTCAAAATGTCAATACCATTATATTATTGTATTTTTAGGTCAAAGTTAAAGACAATTTTTATAATTAAATGTATTCTGTGCTTTTTTGTCTCTCTCTCTCTCTCTCTCTCTCTCTCTCTCTCTCTCTCTCTCTCTCTCTCTCTATATATATATATATATATATATACAAACACACTATATAGGGATTTTCTATAGTAGTAGTGCTAACGTTAGTCCTTGCCCATCTTGAATGAACTAAAGTATTGTTTTCTTTCTATATTAGTTTTAAGTAAGTAAAATGCTTTATTGACATTGTACACAATACAACGAAATTTAGAGTGGCTGCTCTCAGAGAACAAGCATATAAACACGAGTATATTTTGTATGAGAATATATAGAAAGAAGCAGACTATAATATATATTCAATGTTTGCTAATGTATGTACTATAAAGGTCATATTTGGTGTTTGTAGTGTATTGATGTGTGCTCTGTCCTGTCCAGGTTGTGAATGGCAGCATCTTCGTCCTCGTCCTCGGCTGGCGGGGTCAGTGGCAGCTCGGTGACCGGGTCCGGCTTCAGCGCTTCGGAGCTCATCCCGCCCAGGAAAGTCCTGTACACATACCCGAAAGGAGCTGGAGAGATGATGGAGGGTTTGTGCTCCGTTTCACTCGTTATTTCTCTTTTGCTTTGCACCATTTGAAGGGATAGTTCACCCAAAAATGAAAACTCTGTCAGTAATGACTCTCCCTCATGTTGTTCAACCCCGTAAGACTTTCCTTCATCTTCGGGACACAAATTAAGATATTTTTGATTAAATCTGAGAGCTCCTCCATAGGCTTCTAAGGGATCGAAACTGGCCGGCCCAAAAGTTATGAAAGACATCGTTAAAATAGTCCGAGTGACGACAGCGGCTCAACCTTAAGTTTATCAAGCGACGAGAATACTTTCTGTGCGCAAAAAATAAATAAAAAAAAGAACAACTTTATTCAACTCTTCATTTCCTTCCCTGTGGGCCTCGAGTGAGTTCACGTAGTGTAACAGCGCAGCGCTTCTAGGTTGTACGTCACACACACACACATGACCAGCGTCGGCCAATAGTGAGCCTGCGTGTGACGTACAACACAGAAGCGCTGCGCTGTTACACTACGTGAAATCTCAAGGCCCACAGAGAAGAACATGAATAGTTGAATAAAGTCGTTATTTTTGTTTGTTTTTTGCGCACAGAAGGTATTCTCGTCGCTTGATAAACTTAAGATTGAGCCGCTGTCGTCACTCGGACTATTTTAACGATGTCTTTCATAACTTTTAGTGAGACAGCTCTCAGATTTAAAGCTGCAAGTCTGGCAGATTCAGTGGATTTAGGCTAAATTTCGAATGTTTACAACTCTCATGGCCCTCCCAACGGATACCCTCCCACCGAGTTCGTGGTCGTCAGTGCGTGTGCACCGGGTTATCTGTGAACGCGCCCGTCTCATCCGCATCCATCAACACCATGGAGTATTTGGAGGTATGCTATCCTGGCTAATCTACCGATAGATTGCAATTGCTAACGTCATTTATACTCTAAATGAGCTTACTTGATTTTCCGCCATCACTCTTCGTTACTGCGCGAACTTCCGGCGTGTGCATGTGATTGTAACGTGCGCGAGGGGTGGCGTGAGCCCGATCTGTGATTGGCAGTCAGATCTCACGCCCCCCTGCGCTGATTGGACCCGATGATCTGGGAACGGTGGATTTTTGCAAAACAAATAACACGCTCCAGGTGGAGTTAGAAGCTCGGGTTTTTTTCTAAAACCACTTTATTTATGTTGTTCTGTCGGATTATAGTATCGATTTCACTGAATGTGATCAAAAAAATGTTGCCAACGGCAGATTTAATCAAAAATATCTTAATTTGTGTCCTGAAGATGAACGAAAGTCTTACGGGGTTGAACAACATGAGGGAGAGTCATTACTGACAGAGTTTACATTTTTGGGTGAACTATCCCTTTAACAGGGTTCTTCCCACGGGTCCTTGAAATCCTTGAAAGTTTGTGAATCAGAAGAAAAAAAACAATCCAAGGCCCTGGAAAGTTTTGGAAAATAAACACACAGATATACAGGTCCTTGAAAGTGCGAGTGCAAGACGTTTTCTGGAAAAAATCCCTCTGATCGGATTTAAAAAGTGTTATTTCGCCAACACATCGTGGCCTATGCGCACTAACCTGCTTGATGTACGTTAGTTACGTGCATTTACGCGTTACGTTAGTGTTTCCCGCGTGAGGTACTTTGTGTTGTACGTTGCCATGACGTTCACGCGCGCACAAAACTACTACGATCGTACCTCAACGTTTGTTGTTGAACACAACACATGTGTCCCCACATTAAGTCCTTGAATTTGAGGGTATTATTGGACCTGGAAAGTCCTTGAAAGGTTCTTGAATTAAGATGTGGGAACTCTGATTTAAGTGCAAAACAAATGGCAACATAACCCTGTTATATAAACTGCTCTGGAAAGATTTTTACCGTAACAAAACATCCAGTTAATGTCCTTCAGTTGTAGCTCTTTTGTTTCTGGGTCAGGACAGGGTTTGTTACGAGGGGTATTTCCCGCCGGTTAGTTAATGAGCTCAAGGTGCAGGGGCTCTTTGTATGTGTTTGCATGTTCGTCACATGTTTTTCACAGTGCTGATCATCTGCATGCATTTGCCTTTCTTCCACAGATGGATCTGACAGGTTTTTGTGTGAGTCTGTGTTCAGCTATCAAGTTGCATCCACTCTGAAGCAGGTTAAACATGGTACGTAACACACTTACACTCAGTTTCACAGACTGACATGCATTGTTTACGCTTTGGTCGAGCGGATCACAAGTAGACGAGGGAGACACATTCCCGTTTTGTCCATTTTTTAACCACTACAAGCTCAGTGTTTTAGACCCTGTTTACACCTGTGTTTAGCGTCTACTTATGATCCGATCGAACAGGGCCTTAGTTAGGGCTTATCAGTCTTTACTGTTCGGATCTGAATTACACCAATCTACCCTTTTGTGTAACTGGCTTATGAAGAAATATGAGCCGTCTTGAAGAAAAAAATTGATGACTAACTTGTAAGACTAGTTTCTGCTATCGCCACAGGCCTTGAATCTTTTTGATTTTAGTGTCCAGATCACTTGTGAATTTAATTAACTTTTATAGCCGAATCAAATGAGTTTCATAATTAATAAATTTTGCAACATCTACACTGCTATTGAACTGAACTGAATCAACACTGAACTGAAGTGAATCAACACTGAACTGAACTGAATCAACACTGAATTGAATCAACACTGAACTGAATTGAATCAACACTGAATTGAATCAACACTGAACTGAATTGAATCAACACCGAACTGAACTGAATCAACACTGAACTGAATTGATCTGAATAACGACATTATTGTCTTTTTAGAGCTGCCTTATAATTTAGTTAAATTAGTTTCATAATTGATGAATTTTGTTATATTGATTCTGTTATTGAACTGAATTGAATCAACACTGAACTGAATTGAATCAAACACTGAACTGAATTGAATCAACACTGAATTGAATCAACACTGAAATGAATTGAATCAACACTGAACTGAATTGAATCAACACTGAACTGAATTGAATCAACACTGATTGATTCAATTCAGTTCAATAACAGAATCAATATAACAAAATTCATCAATTATGAAACTAATTTAACTAAATTATAAGGCAGCTCTAAAAAGATAATAATGTCGTTATTCAGATCAATTCAGTTCAGAAATGAATTGAATCAACACTGAAATGAATTGAATCAACACAGAAATGAATTGAATCCACACTGAAATGAATTGAATCAACACAGAAATGAATTGAAACAACACTGAACTGAATTGAATCAACATCGAAATGAATTGAATCAACACTGAACTGAATTGTTCTGAATTACGACATTACGGTCTTTTTAGAGCTGCCTTATAATTGAGGTAAATTAGTTTCATAATTGATGAATTTTGCAACATCGACACTGTTATTGAACTGAACTGAATCAACACTGAACTGAACTGAATCATCACTGAACTGAATCAACACTGAACTGAATTAAGATGAATAATGACTGTTGTCTCTAGAGCTCAATTTGAATTAGTCTCATACTTGATAATAAGCTGCTATAGAAATCAAGCTGACTGTTGAATGAGAAACGGTTGCTGTTGTGGAGTCCGGTGTGTGACGCTGGTGTCTGATCTCAGATCAGCAGGTTTCCCGGATGGAGCGTCTGGCGGGGCTGGTGGAGCAGTTGGAGGCGGACGAGTGGAAATATAAACCCATCGAGCAGCTCCTGGGATTCACGACCTCATGATATCTACACATCTCCATTAGCCTGCTTCCCTCGTCTGCAATGAACTGAAATTAGAGTTATGAATGTACGTGTACTGTAGGTTTATATATCGGTTTGCACATTTTTAGAGTTTTTGTGATCATGTGTATAAATATGCATTGTGTTTCGAATAAAGTCTTAGTAATTCCTTAAAATAAAAATACATGAACAATAAAAATCTTTTTTTAAGCACAATCAATATGTTGCATGAGTTATTTTGAAGGATGCATTCAAATCTTGACATAGTTGAACATGAAATCCGCATTGATCCTGTCAACTTTCGTAATGCGTGTTCTTGGTGTGTCTGAGCACAATCTATCAATGCATGTTATTTCAAAGAAAAGAAAAACTCTAGTTTATTTATATGACACTTTTCACACACATCGTTTCAAAGCAGCTTTACTGAAAGTCGTTAATGTGTAATATCTTCATGCTTTTATACAGTGGTGTAGAAAACTGATGTCTGGCTTTGAAAACTGACATCTTAATATTATTAAAAATTTGTTAAAGATTTTATAGTCACATTGTGTAGTTGTGATTCGAGTCGATTGTTTTATTTGTGATTATAACGAAATTAAACATGCCAAATTATGTGACATAACTGTCTATAATAAGAGATTATGAATGAACACATGCGAAAAACAAGAGAGAAACAATGAGATATTAATAACTGATTATGTTGTAGTCAATGTGCGCTTTTTCCTGTCAGCTTATGCAGCTTTTTTTGTTTTTCAAAAAAAAATTGTCAGATAAATACCTTAACCAAGTTTAGTATTTTGTTCTTCCCTCATATTTAAAATATTTATAAAATATTTTCCGCATATTTTGATAGTTTATTCGATGCAGTGTCATTAAAAACAAACATATCCATCACTTGTGGCTTCTACTGTAGTTGCACTGAATTGAATCAACACTGAATTGAATTGATCTGAATAACAACACTATTGTCGTTTTAGAGCTGCTTTACACCTGAGTTGAATTAGTTTCATAATTGATAAATTTTTGGAACATTGATTCTGTTATTGAACTGAACTGAATCAACACTAAACTGAATCAACACTGAACTGAATCAACACTGAAATTAATCAACACAACACTGAACTGAATCAACACTGAACTGAATCAACACTGAACTGAATTAACACTGAACTGAATCAACACTGAACTGAATTAACACTGAACTGACTCAACACTGAACTGAATCAACACTGAACTGAATTAACACTGAACTTAATTAACACTGAACTGAATCAACACTGAACTGAATTAACACTGAACTGACTCAACACTGAACTGAATCAACACTGAACTGAATCAACACAACACTGAACTGAATCAACACTGAAATTAATCAACTCAACACTGAACTGAATCAACACTGAACTGACTCAACACTGAACAGAATTAACACTGAACTGACTCAACACTGAACTGACTCAACACTGAACTGAATCAACACTGAACTGAATCAACACTGAACTGAATTAACACTGAACTGAATCAACACTGAACTGAATTAACACTGCACTGAATCAACACTGAACTGAATTAACACTGAACTAAATCAACACTGAACTGAATTAACACTGAACTGACTCAACACTGAACTGAATCAACACTGAACTAAATCAACACTGAACTGAATCAACACTGAAATTAATCAACTCAACACTGAACTGAATCAACACTGAACTGACTCAACACTGAACTGAATTAACACTGAAATTAATCAACTCAACACTGAACTGAATCAACACTGAACTGAATTAACACTGAACTGAATCAACACTGAAATTAATCAACTCAACACTAAACTGAATCAACACTGAACTGAATCAACACTGAACTAAATTAACACTGAACTGAATCAACACTGAAATTAATCAACTCAACACTGAACTGAATCAACACTGAACTGACTCAACACTGAACTGAATTAACACTGAACTGAATCAACACTGAACTGAATCAACACTGAACTGAATTAACACTGAACTGAATCAACACTGAACTGAATTAACACTGAACTGAATCAACACTGAACTGAATTAACACTGAACTGAATCAACACTGAACTGAATTAACACTGAACTGAATCAACACTGAACTGAATTAACACTGAACTGAATCAACACTGAACTGAATTAACACTGAACTGAATCAACACTGAACTGAATTAACACTGAACTGAATTAACACTGAACTGACTCAACACTGAACTGAATCAACACTGAACTAAATCAACACTGAACTGAATCAACACAACACTGAACTGAATCAACACTGAAATTAATCAACTCAACACTGAACTGAATCAACACTGAACTGACTCAACACTGAACTGAATTAACACTGAACTGAATCAACACTGAACTGAATCAACACTGAACTGAATTAACACTGAACTGAATCAACACTGAACTGAATTAACACTGAACTGAATCAACACTGAACTGAATTAACACTGAACTGAATCAACACTGAACTGAATTAACACTGAACTGAATCAACACTGAACTGAATTAACACTGAACTGAATCAACACTGAACTGAATTAACACTGAACTGAATTAACACTGAACTGAATCAACACTGAACTGAATTAACACTGAACTGACTCAACACTGAACTGAATCAACACTGAACTGACTCAACACTGAACTGAATCAACACTGAACTGATTCAACACTGAACTGAATCAACACTGAACTGACTCAACACTGAACTGACTCAACACTGAACTGATTCAACACTGAATTGAATCAACACTGAACTGACTCAACACTGAACTGACTCAACACTGAACTGAATCAACACTGAACTGAATTAACACTGAACTGAATCAACACTGAACTGAATTAACACTGCACTGAATCAACACTGAACTGAATTAACACTGAACTGAATCAACACTGAACTGAATTAACACTGAACTGACTCAACACTGAACTGAATCAACACTGAACTAAATCAACACTGAACTGAATCAACACTGAAATTAATCAACTCAACACTGAACTGAATCAACACTGAACTGACTCAACACTGAACTGAATTAACACTGAAACTAATCAACTCAACACTGAACTGAATCAACACTGAACTGAATTAACACTGAACTGAATCAACACTGAAATTAATCAACTCAACACTGAACTGAATCAACACTGAACTGAATTAACACTGAACTGAATCAACACTGAAATTAATCAACTCAACACTGAACTGAATCAACACTGAACTGAATCAACACTGAACTAAATTAACACTGAACTGAATCAACACTGAAATTAATCAACTCAATACTGAACTGAATCAACACTGAACTGAATCAACACTGAACTAAATTAACACTGAACTGAATCAACACTGAAATTAATCAACTCAATACTGAACTGAATCAACACTGAACTGACTCAACACTGAACTGAATTAACACTGAACTGAATCAACACTGAACTGAATCAACACTGAACTGAATTAACACTGAACTGAATCAACACTGAACTGAATTAACACTGAACTGAATCAACACTGAACTGAATTAACACTGAACTGAATCAACACTGAACTGAATTAACACTGAACTGAATCAACACTGAACTGAATTAACACTGAACTGAATCAACACTGAACTGAATTAACACTGAACTGAATCAACACTGAACTGAATTAACACTGAACTGACTCAACACTGAACTGAATCAACACTGAACTAAATCAACACTGAACTGAATCAACACAACACTGAACTGAATCAACACTGAAATTAATCAACTCAACACTGAACTGAATCAACACTGAACTGACTCAACACTGAACTGAATTAACACTGAACTGAATCAACACTGAACTGAATCAACACTGAACTGAATTAACACTGAACTGAATCAACACTGAACTGAATTAACACTGAACTGACTCAACACTGAACTGACTCAACACTGAACTGAATTAACACTGAACTGAATCAACACTGAACTGAATTAACACTGAACTGACTCAACACTGAACTGAATCAACACTGAACTAAATCAACACTGAACTGAATCAACACAACACTGAACTGAATCAACACTGAAATTAATCAACTCAACACTGAACTGAATCAACACTGAACTGACTCAACACTGAACTGAATTAACACTGAACTGAATCAACACTGAACTGAATCAACACTGAACTGAATTAACACTGAACTGAATCAACACTGAACTGAATTAACACTGAACTGAATCAACACTGAACTGAATTAACACTGAACTGAATCAACACTGAACTGAATTAACACTGAACTGAATCAACACTGAACTGAATTAACACTGAACTGAATCAACACTGAACTGAATTAACACTGAACTGAATCAACACTGAACTGAATTAACACTGAACTGAATCAACACTGAACTGAATTAACACTGAACTGAATCAACACTGAACTGAATCAACACTGAACTGACTCAACACTGAACTGACTCAACACTGAACTGATTCAACACTGAACTGAATCAACACTGAACTGACTCAACACTGAACTGACTCAACACTGAACTGATTCAACACTGAACTGAATCAACACTGAACTGACTCAACACTGAACTGACTCAACACTGAACTGAATCAACACTGAACTGACTCAACACTGAACTGATTCAACACTGAACTGAATCAACACTGAACTGACTCAACACTGAACTGACTCAACACTGAACTGATTCAACACTGAACTGAATCAACACTGAACTGACTCAACACTGAACTGATTCAACACTGAACTGAATCAACACTGAACTGACTCAACACTGAACTGAATCAACACTGAACTGAATTAACACTGAACTGAATCAACACTGAACTGAATCAACACTGAACTGACTCAACACTGAACTGACTCAACACTGAACTGATTCAACACTGAACTGAATCAACACTGAACTGACTCAACTCCGAACTGACTCAACACTGAACTGATTCAACACTGAACTGAATCAACA